TGGTGTAAAAAGTGAGAAGTGATGATAAACTGTCTCACAATGAACAGACAAGATACTGTCCTAGACAAAGTTACTGTAATTTCACGAATATGAGGAAAACAAAGTGTGAATGGAGAATATTGGAAACCAGGTAGAAGCATAGGGGTTGAACGAAGTGCATAAGAGTCGAAAGGTAGATTTGGGATAAACACTGACAAGAGATTATGGCAGCATAGAAAAAGAAAAGGTCCTCATTGTCCAATCACAGATGGTGTTGGGGTTGGAATTTCGTGGAGCGCACACAGGCGATCGATTTTGATTGATGGTAATGGGGAAAACAATGAGATATGAACGAACAGTTAACTGATACTACACACGTATGAATATGACTGCACTGCATATTACTTATACTGCCCAACTATTTGACAGATGACAAACACCCACTGCTTTGCCGATTTATGCTCAACCATCTGTTTATTCAGACGTGGCTGTACGTCATGCTCATTCTTTAGATAAACGATTCCTCCAACAATCGGTTCTTTGGAGTCTTCTCACGTGCTGTAAAAAAGAGAATCATGTAGGTGGGCATCGTCGGAAAAATCATGAGTGGAATTGAATTTGGGATAATTGTTCATCGACGAAGAGAAGGGGCAGAGGGAAATAGCATGAAAGCTTATGAGGATCCGGAGTAAAATGAGGTTGCTCTCGAAATGATTCGAGTAACATATACCAATTTTGGCCGGTCACAAAGAAAGTTTCGTACAGAAGCGATGAAATACAGGCAAAGTTCTAACTTAGAAAGTTTCGCCAGGTTGACAGCCTTGTGGAGATCGAGAGAAAACGAAATGCAATTCACCATGGTGGTAAGTGGGATGGAAGACCTAATGTGATCCGTATACCGAAAGTGTGAATGTGGATCTGTGATAGCGATAGCCTTAGTGGGGGGAGTTAAGATATTCACGGGGTTTCAATTGATAGCAAAGATGTTTTTAATCACAAATGTCATTATATATATATATATATATATATATATACCGCACAAAATAACCATGGATTGAAATAAAAACACAGAAACATAACAAAGTATGACACAGAGATAATCAGTTTGGAGTAGGGTATAACAACTTTTTGCTGGTTTACTGAACGCACTTTGAACGTTTTCATCTTTTTATTTTGGGGATAGCAAACACGAATGAGTGCGTGCACGTCACAGACCGATTCGATGCCATATCCTGCCGAGTATCCGCTGCGTTCAATCGCATTCGCATTCGTCACATGTGATGAGGAGCAGCACGGATCAATTCAGACCGGGTCTCACGTAGCCCTGTATTCGATCAAACCTTTGTCAAATAATGACCAACAAGAATGTGACCATGTGCTTCGGACTAACGCTGTCTTTCTATCAACTGTAATGGCAGGAATGTCATTGCCAATCCCCCCCCCTCTCTGCGCGACGAATGGAAGTGATCGTGCTACGTAGATGGCACAAATAATTCCGAAGAGGAAATTGCACGCACGCATGCATGCGTGCATGACGTAGTGCTATGTACTTCGTACGTAACACCGAATGGTCGCGCACACATTCGGAGGGCACTACGGCCTGACAACGTCAATCGATTTTGTATTGTATAAAACCTCACCGATTATTTGTTGGTTAAGTAAATCACCAATAAATCCCTTAGTGGTTCTGCCCCCGGACTACCTGAGGCTAGCACAAAACCGAAGAGGTAAATGGACCCGTTGAAATACCAAATTGATTGTTATCCGAGCAACCACATGACACACGTAACAAGGTGTCCTGCGCAGGACAACCGCCCGAGCGTACTAATCAACAACCGGTATGAATAATGTTGTTTCAGATATTACGCGAGAAATCAACTTTCATTACCAACATTCTGTATGACTCATAACTGGAGTGAAATGTCCGATAGACAAAATCGATTCTTGTCTGAAACACAAAACCAAGCAGCGGTTTAACGAGAAATAAAAGAAGCAATTGATTAACCCCTTTAACACTGAACGTTTGCATCAGGTGTCTAGGCAAGATTTACATTTCGGTATGGTAGAACAAGTCCGTTACGTTGACAGTTGCTGTGTTGCTACAGAATTAGGTTACCCAGACAGATCAGAAAAAGGTTTGGAGAAAATGATCACATCTCTCAGGATAATGTTAGAAATTGGATAAAAGGGTGCGAATAGATTGGTTAATAAAGTTTTCAATATCATTATATCACTTTCGCTTGGATTCCGCCTACCGAGAGCTCTAGCAACTTTGCAGATCATTTGAGGATCAACAAACCTGAATTAGACCCACTGAGAGCGATGAAACCGAAAGCGTTATACATAACAAAGGCAGCTGTGATCACCTCGAACAAACAAAAGCTCTTCTTCAACCTCAAGCTATGTTGGTCGTATCATGGCGTCATCCTTCGCTAGTAAGAATAGCACCAAGGACTACACAACAATTAATTGAGTGGCATTAACACGAACTTCGTTCATTTTAAGCATGCACCTGGAAAGTAGATAATAACCAATCACATTTGGTAATCCAACTCCGTGGTCCCACTGTACCTGTATTTGTGGATAAACACTTCTGCAGGACAAGTTATCGTGTCCAGTTCCTTCTTGCATTTGACTTATTATAGTGTATAAACTACTACTACAACAACTAATAATCGTGGCTGGGACTGCTTTCCTTTGGATAGCGTACATTGTGAATTGAACTTCCTGATGTGCATTATAGAACATATAACATCGCACACGTAGCTGAGACCAGACTGTATGCTAAATCACAAATCATGGTAACACCATCCGAGAATACAAACAGCCAGAGGTGTAACTAACCTAAATCTCTGTGTCACTTGGACAACAATCTGCCACAAGAAACACGCACCAAGTATTTAGACAACTTACCAACGACAAAACCTAACCAACTAATCCTACACTGTGCGACAAAGCTACGCGGTCTGCTTCCACATCCTCAATATGTGATCTAGATGAGTAAGCATATACGCATCATTTGGAGTGTAGATGTTGGGCTTAACGGGGAAGGGCTGGGTAATCAGTTGGGTGCTGGATCGGTCATGTCCATACATATCCCTTGGTTGAAGGATAGCTACAAACAGTCCGTTCTAACGTGACATTAGAGCATGAAAGCTGTAATCCCAAGAACACCTGGCCAGGTGTGAGTATACGAGAATCACTTGGGTGAACCACACTCCACGCGTGCCTATTATCAGCTTAGTTTAGACCTCGTGATTGAGAGAGTTGGTAACAGACCAGTGTGATTTGGTTATCAGTTATAGGAACGGAAGAAGACGTACGTCGCGAGATGTTAACATCTCGTTTAATCTTCTCAATCGATGACGCAAAACAAAAAAGCACATCTATAGCACGTTGGATTTGTAAATCCTAGTGAACGGACATGCGCAGACAGTGGCTATTGGAATTAAAAAACAATTCTAATAGCCCATGTCCCTTCACTAGGATTTAAAAATCCAATATGCTTGTCAGCTATTGAGAAGATTAAACGAAATGTTAACACCTCGCGACATACGTCTTCTTTCGGTCTTGATACGATGAATAAAGGGGACCCAGTGTTTCAAAGTTATAGAAACCTCAAATTTGATGATGGAATGAATTTCAAAAGGCATGGTTTGCCGGTATCTAAGACCTGTTGGAGAAGTGACTACTTTGCCAGTAGTAGCGTTTTCATGCATATTGGTTTGCTGTATTTTTCACCTTTCATTTTGATTTATAGTCGAAATTTTCCAAGCCCAAAGTGCTTTTGGATCCAGGTCATTCACACATTTTGGTCAACGGGTGTATACACGGCGACCGAAGATATAAGTAGAGTTCAGAAACTTCATTTTTCGACTTTGGATGTTGACTCTAAAGGAACATTTGGCGGTCGGGGGTATTGTAGGCTGTGGATACATTAAAGCGAGTACCAATATCTACAATAGAACGGCCGTGAAGAGGATTTGCAATAATTGATGGGCTAATAATGCACATCAAAAACAGCGAAAGCACTGAGACT